TTCGAACTTAAAAAATATCGGGCCAAGTTTGACTGTTGGAAAAAAATAACTGCTATTTACTGTCCCTGGAATAAACACTTACGATTATATGAGCGGTCTCACACATAAACAGATAACCGAACTGAAATCGGCAATTGATGTCCGTCAGTGACGATAAATTCAAACATGTTTGTTTTTCTCGTCCGATATCAGGTAAAAAGTATTAAAATGGACCACGAAAAATTAACTTATTGGGTGCAAAACAAAAAAATTACATATAAAATCACATGTTTAGGGAATGTCTATTCAAATTTATCAAAATTTTTCACATATTGTACAAAATTAAAATGAAAGCTAGATTTGTGGGTACAAATACGGTCGGGTTAAGTNGTGAGCCTAGCGTTATACGTTGTACCAAAAATTTAAAATATACGGCACGCAGCTGTTTTCAACAGCGGATATTCTAAATCTGGTACTTGTTGCCGGAATTCAAGCAATGGCAAAGCTTTATGTTGCGTTTCCAGTACCTTATCTTCTTTTAATTCGAAAAAATCCAGCTCTTCTTCGCTTTTCTTAAAAAGGAGTGTTTCGGATATTGTTAATTCATACTCAATTATATTACATAAGAAAGGGTTTATGAAGTATGCAAACGTAAATTTAAATAATTNAATATAATTCATATCGCAAAGATACAGAAACGGGCTACTGGCCAAGTTTGACTGTTGGAAAAAAATAACTGCTATTTACTGTCCCTGGAATAAACACTTACGATTATATGAGCGGTCTCACACATAAACAGATAACCGAACTGAAATCGGCAATTGATGTCCGTCAGTGACGATAAATTCAAACATGTTTGTTTTTCTCGTCCGATATCAGGTAAAAAGTATTAAAATGGACCACGAAAAATTAACTTATTGGGTGCAAAACAAAAAAATTACATATAAAATCACATGTTTAGGGAATGTCTATTCAAATTTATCAAAATATTTCACATATTGTACAAAATTAAAATGAAAGCTAGATTTGTGGATACAAATACGGTCGGGTTAAGTGTGCGCATCATCAGTTCGGACGGTCAAATTGTTCGATCGAAATCGGTCAGCCTATCGGATGCAATGTGAGCCTAGCGTTATACGTTGTACCAAAAATTTAAAATATACGGCACGCAGCTGTTTTCAACAGCGGATATTCTAAATCTGGTACTTGTTGCCGGAATTCAAGCAATGGCAAAGCTTTATGTTGCGTTTCCAGTACCTTATCTTCTTTTAATTCAAAAAAATCCAGCTCTTCTTCGCTTTTCTTAAAAAGGAGTGTTTCGGATATTGTAAATTCATCCTCAATTATATTACATAAGAAAGGGTTTATGAAGTATGCAAACGTAAATTTAAATAATTTAAAATTGCCAAATATTTTTTTAAGATATGCTTTTAAATCATGTGCAATATTTTTCTAGCCATGGAAAATGATGAAATACGTATTACTTTTTTGGGATCATGAATAAAAACACGTAGTTCAGTTTCAAAACATAAAATATTTTGCGACAAATCAAGAACATTTTTATTCTCTCCTTGTAGAGAGAAATTCAAGTTTTGCAAATGTTCCGTCATATCGATAAAGAACATTAAGTCAGAAAGCCAAGTTCCACTCTCCAATTGGGGTAATGTTTCTCAATTTGCATATGTGTATATAAAAAGAATAAAATAAAAACACAATGGAAAAGAAGGTCCAGCAAAGAAAAAAATTTGTATTTTAAATAGTAAAAAGAGCCAAACTGTTCTAAGCAAAGAGGAAGTAGAAAGCCCCGCACTTTGCTAAGCAAAGGGCCGCATTTGGCTCAAAGAGCCGCGATTGCCCACCGTTGTTATATAGTAACATATAACAACGTAAATAATATAGTGTAGATCCCAATATTTAGGATCAATAACGTCTCCTTGATTTAAGAAAAATTTTTTTCGTCTTTGTATAATAATTATTTACGGATTAATATCTTTTTTAGTCTCGCGGGACGATTATTTTAAGACGAATATTATTTACGTCTTCTCATAATAATTATATAGGCCTTTTATTTTTTTTCGTCTCTCGGGACGCTTATTTCAGGACGAATATGATTTACGTCTTCTCATAATAATTACATAGGCCTTTTATTTTTGTTCCTCTCTCGGGACGCTTATTTCAAGACGAATGTGATCCACGTCGCACTTTTTTCTTAATAGAATTGGTACACTTACAGCCGATTTGAATCTAATTTCTAATATGTGGCAACCCTTTTCTGAAAAACAAAACCGTATTGCACTTCTACATACCAATCTCTTCAATTCTCGGTGCAGATTTGGTGACGGTGGCTTAAATATTTTACGTAAACGTCTCCGAACTCGATTATTTGCATTTGGCAACCAAAACCGCATAAAAGCAAAGCCCTTTGATATAAATATTTGTAAATAAATATATTTAAC